AGATAGGAAGTTCGGAGAGATCAAATTAATTTGAGCAATCCTTTCACGCATGTTACTTCCCAAAAGGGAAATTGGGAGCAAAAATTTTATCTTCTCCAAGACTATGTACCTCAATTTAAAGTTGAAGAAACGAGCACAGCAAAACGTTCCCTATAACGAAACGAAGATGTTGAAACGTGAGAAATAACATGAACAACGAAAAAACGGGAAGAAAGCATGCGTAGGCTTGAACTGCGGGTTGAAGGAGCCGCGCTCTACCGCAACCGGCGTGCGCAAATTCAAATTCAAATTTACCACCTAGCGACTACTAATGAAGTGAGAACGACTATACATGACCGACTATACGAATATACCATATTCTGTTGCAAAATTGCTACTCTGCGTTCATTTGAGTTCATAATTCTCTGGAAAGTTGAAATTACCGTAACCGTTGAGAAACATACTCAAGGTCCAACATTTTCTCTTCGAATGCAGCCCACAGGAACATATCCGAATAGTCCCAGCTCAAAGAAGTGCGATTATCGTCCTCTTGCAACCCAACGATAAAAGGAACCATGTCTTTGATTTGAGACGGGTTTTTCAGCAGATCTTCCAGCATCTGAAATTTATGTGTAGTGAAAAACTCGAGACAAAGTTCACTACATTTGAGGAGCGCATAATTTGAGTTCAGTCTCACTGTAAGTCTTTGTTTCATCTATGTACAGGAATGCGAAAAAATTCTTGAACTTACAGGTATCATTTCCAAATTGACGCTACCGTAAACTGCCAACAGCACATCTTTGATGATTATGTCTGTAAAACGACATTGTGCATTTTCTATTCAAAACAACTTCCTCAACTTAGAAACCTACTGAGGTCACAAAATTCTCCAGTATACATTGCTGAACAATTGCATGAAAACGATGCAAGTTCATCTATGCATTTTGCGTCTTTGTCTTTTGTCATGCAACGATTTTTATACGTTTTCGTAACACCATTGACGGTCTGATTGTATGGAACACAGTCGGGAATATCTGAATGTAATATTCAAGACTAGTACAACCTCTCCAAAAAGACGAACTTACTGATATCACATTTCTTTCCAGTTGCGCCCGGTTTACAAGTACAGTTATAGTCCATGTAGGCGTCTTCACAAGTACCCCACTTGCAAGGATTTGGAATACAATCGTTGATATCTGAAATATAGTGGAGCACAGATTTCTGAATATTTTGTGCATAACTGCATTTCCTATATATAGGGTGTCCCAAAAAATGTATCGAACGTTTGATTTCTAAT